AATATTTGTTCATGTAACTACTGAATTTTTACTAACAAAATTGGCGCAATTGTCAATAACTGTTGTCTGAACGATCCAATAATTATTCATTTTTATGAAATCAAAATCAGTGTTGTAAAAAATTTGAATCATACGAAAGATATTTGTTTTATCGAATATATGCATGTAAAAAAGTTCTTGAAAATAAGATATTAGAAAATAATTGAGCTGAAATTAGATTGAAAACAAATAAAATTAAGGGATAAATTTGAAAATTCTCAAATAAATCACTTTTCTTATGTTAAGCATATACAATTGAAGCAAATATTCTCAGAAAGATGTTAAGAGAAATTAAAAAATGCAAATAAATATAAAGAAACAATTAATTTATAACGAACAATTTTTGCAATTTGAAATTCTTTGCTACTGTTTGGAGCTGAAGAAAAAAAAAGAAAGCTATAATTATGAATGATTAATTTTCTCTCGTCATAATTACAGTAACACCTACCGCCAGATTAGTTGGTTATCAAAACTCCCACAAAAATTCAAATCAAATATTTTAAGAATGAAATAATTGCTAGCAATTAACTAGCATAATTATTTCTAAAAATTTAGACAGAAAGGTGCAAATTGAAGAAAATGAATTTTTTTATTCTTTTTTCGAGAAAAAAAAATTTGCTTCTCAAGATTTGATGGACGACTTTTTCATTACTGGAAAGTATTAATACAATTTTGAATTGTGATCTTTGATATAATAATATCATTACTGATGACAATATTGCTAATTATCCTTATCAATTCACAGGTAAGAAGTGTGGATGAAGAAGCAGATCATAGATCACATTCAAGTTTTTCTTCAATTTATTGAGTAACAGTTCACGATGAAAAATGAATTGTATTATGTACAATTCTTTCGATTTCTACAATATGCTATGCAATCATTAAAGGATAACAAAATCTGACAGTTTTAAATGAAAGTATTACTTTCAGTTCAAAAGATTCATCTTAAAGTTTTGCTTTAATAGAAATTCCGGAAAGTTGAAGATTTATCACGATCATAACGATCACTTGATTCTTCAGTGCATTACAGCTCAATTCACGTAATATATGTAATTTCTGGTTATATTTTTTGATTTATATCTGCATTGTTGTCAATCATCAAGCAAGTTATCAAACTATCAGCGGTTGATACTGCAACTGCAATGATTGTTAAATTTTTGACCTGATAACTCTTTCAAACTATGTCTCCAGTTTTTTGGTTTGTTTTTGGGATTAATCAGGAATCAAAGTGCAACACTAATTTATTTAATTTTAAGTAATATTTCTTTCTACCGATTGATCGTGTGATTTTTCCATCGTTTTTCCATTAATTTCAGTATTCATACTTCGTCAAACATGTTTAAAAGATATGATCAGTGAAAAAAAAAGGAAAAAAAATGGTGTAAACAAATTAATATGCAATATTACAATAAATAATGCAATGATATGAAATGAAATCATTCAAACAATTCGCTTGTGGTAAAGAAGAAACAAAATGTCAATGATAATAAGCGGTCAAAAACAATTAATTAAGCAGAGAAAATGATAAAGAAGATGAAATGAAAGTATGAATAAAAATTAAGAATAAAATTACTTGTCATAAATCAGGTGGAGGATGTGTAATTAAGCATATTTTTTGAATGAAAAAATTAATTCTTAAAGATTGAACGAAGGATGCATGAAATGCCGAATAGAGTGATGAATGGTAATTTAAATAAGAAAAATATGCAATATATGATGAAATGAAAGGAAAGAAAAAAAATTATAGTATTAATAAAAATTGGAACTAAATGACTAAATAAGCCAAAAAAAATTTTGCTTTTAAAATATTTATTTAAATAAATGTGACAAAGTTGAAAATTCTTTTATAAATAATGAGTAATTTGAAGGTTTTTAGTATCATTGAATTCTTACATTGCAAATTTGTACATATATATTAGTTATATTACAAAGTATTACACATTTGTATAACAAATTCGTTCAATTTATTCAGAACCATAAATTAGACCATTCATTGTCTCATTATTTCATTCAGCACTTCATTAATAAATAGACTTCTGAATAATTAAGTTACATCCAATAAAAGATACGACAACCATATTAAATTATAAAAAAAAGGAAATTAATCCGTATTAAAAAAAAGAATCCATATTAAATTCTAAAAAAAAATTTAATGTTTTTTAATGAAAATTTCTGTCTATGTAAAAGTAGTTCACTTTTAAATAGATATCAAGTAATTAGATCTATGCTTTCTATCGAATTAACTATTTCAATGAAAATTTCAGTTTTCAAGGAATAAATGTTGAAACGATCGGTTTCATATGTTTGTTCGAACCAAGTTAAAAATTTTCAGTTTAATAATTTATGACTTTATATGATAACAAAATGGAAAATTTCCTTAGATGAATGAAAGGAAGAGGTGATAAATCGATGATATTTAATTTTGTTGTCAAATAATTGATGAAATGATAAGGAAAGCAAAGACATGCCAAGTAATCACCATCGTTTGCAAAGTATTTCATAAAACAATTCAAAAATGAAGCGGTTTTAGTCAATCACCGCCATTAAAAATATCACATCATCCATGTATATTTGATACTTTTAAGAAGCTATAGTAAGACTGTAGTTGATAAACATGTTTGTTTAATCATTTTCTTATCAATAAAGTGCAAAACAAGTACATAAAAGTCTACTCATTGCAAATTTGCATATCGTTTTTTTTAAAAAAATCAAGTGGAAAATAGCACCGGAACTTTAAAACATGATTTTTCAATATTTTCGATTTTTTTAATAATTAATTGAGATCCTGATTGGATCAAATATGTCTTCTGCAATATTTTCCTTCCTCAGCAAAATAACATTGTCTGTCAAATTTAAATACAATGCTTTTTAGTTCATTTGTAAAGATTTTGTAAAATTTCACAAATTTAATCCCAATACTCTCCATAATTATTGATCGAAATCATTAATTAATTCGACATATTGAATAAGGATCGCCTCTCATTTTTTAAATTTCTAAAACAGAAGGGAACTAGGATAAGATAATAACATACATTTCTTTCATAGATCTATCTGTTATTTATGAAATTTTGAAATTTACGCCTTTGAATTTTCATTTCGTCACATTGGTAGGTTAGGAAATTAATGAATTTATTAATTTGCCTTACTTTTTCTACTGCGTGTAATCAATCTTGAATTTTCAATGAAAGAATATGCAAACTAATTAGTGAAGACACCAAATAATTTTTTTTATATATGTCTGCAAAGTTTGGAAACTTTGAGGATTTTAATTTCAATAATGCATTCATGAATGGTTGAGAAATTAATTCCCCATGAAATTTAAAAGTTTTCAAAAAATGACCACTAAGAAGATTCAGCATTTTTTTTCGGAATAAAAATTTTCACCAGGTAAATAATTGATATTACGGCTGTTAACAATTCTAAATTTATGCTCAAATCTATTTCTTTTTCAATTTTAAGTGTTTTCAAGTTTAATTCAATTTTCGCTTTCTTCTAATCAAATAGAAAATGATCTAATTTTATCACAAACATTTAGAAATTATCAAATTTGTATGCTTCTTTATCAAACATTCCGCAAAGCACTGAAGAACAGAAGCAATCATACCACGACAGTTTGTTAAAGTTGTATCCAAATGATGAAATGACAAATGAGCGGATAAAAGGATAGGAAAAAGTTGTATCAATCCAATGATCTCATCTGAAGTTTATGTTTCATTCTAGTTGTCATGAAAAAAAAATGTTTAATCTCATTTGACCCATATCTG